AAAAAAAAAAGAAAAAATTAAAATAAAATAAAGGAATAAGATATTTTACCTGGAAGCAACTGCTAAGATCAAGTTCTTCAAGTTCTTTACAGTGCGCAGCTAAAAGTTTAAGAGTTTTATCTGTAAGTCCCTTACATTTACTTGAACTCAAAGAACGTAGTTTTGGGCAGTTTTTAAGAAGTGAAAAACTTTCTTCGGTGAAGCTGAACCAACAAGTTTCAGCGTGAAGCTCTCTTAGATTTTTCAAGCAAGTAAGGATTCCTTTTAAGCCTTCTGCGGTTAGTACAGATTCAAAAGGAACACAATCTAAAACCCGAATGTGTTGGAAGTAGTTTTCTATAGTTCTTTTCCATGCTTTTGAAACTCTACGAGAAATACAAATCTCATTCAAATGCAAAAATCTTAAAATGCGAAATACAATTTCCGGTGGTAAAGTGATAAAAGGGTCAATTTTAACAACTTTTTTAGCATAGTCTTTCTCTAAATCCCTCTCTTCCGTAAACTTCAGTATAATGCTTTTTAAATAGTCTATATAATCTTGATGAGACTGCTTTCTAGTGTGTTCGTCGTTTCTTCTTGTCATTCGTTTTGCCGCCATCTTTGTTGAATGAAACGTTTGTCAAACGTCAGGAACAAAAAGATTTGTTATGCAAGATAAAGAAATGATTGAGCAGGTTTCATCTATCAGAATCAGTTTTCGAAACACTGTATTGGTAAGAATAAATAGGATACGAAGGAAGGAAGACGAAAAAAATAACAAAGGACTTCGAATTCGAGTTCGTTTCCATAAGTGAAACTGCCACAGGGTTCCCATACAGGTTATGTTCTGTCTACAAACCTCTAGCTACGACGGCTTTGCGCATTTCCGGGGACACCGAAGTAAAAATYGTCGTCGGATTACTGTCCAAAAATGAACCATTACAATGGAGGCCGAGCTTGTACTTGTACTGAGGACTAAAAAGGCGCACCTCGTACTTCCCTTTTCAGTACTTCCTTTATAGWTTTGAAGCTTGGAAAAAGTAAATATCAATCGTTACCAATAAACTCCTTCTGCAAACCAGTGGCRTGCAAATCAGACGCTATCATTTCAAATTTATTTTTTTATTTTATAATAAATTAGCAAATTTCTTTACATTTTTGTGGACACCAAGATTGCCGGTTGACCACTTTAAATATTACCATATTTTCAAAATACTGGTTTCAATGTAAAAATAATCCATACAAAACTTAGTTCTGTTTTTTCTTGTATGGAGCTTTTGTATTGCTTTTTGTGCGCTTCGTCTGCCGCCATCTTCTTCTCATTTTTGATAAATTTTCCAAATAATTACAAACGTTCTAGTGGAGTAATATAAAATATTTCCAGCCCTGACGAGAGTTTGGGTTTCACCATAAGAACAAGTACTCTGAGTTTACTTAGCTAGCACGTCTACAGCACAGGAGAGTTGTTGACTTTACAAAACTATAATATGAAAAACTGCAATATACACGTGAAAGCAACGAAAGAAGACARACGTCCAGCCCATTAGACATGGGCAAAAAAATTACACGTTCGAATAGAAAAAATTTACAATAACTATACATAATAAATAAAATGCGTGCAGGTTAATTCCAAACTAAAAATTGGAAGAAAACTGCTGTCTGAAACATTATTATATTGTTTGGCAATAACGTGGTAGAATGAATATGTCTGTAAATTAACCAAAAATATAATTTGATGATATCCAAATATGTATCATAGACGTGGGCCGCTCCATTAGGAGAAATTGTAAATCAGAGCTATACTTGGTGTATACAATAATTTGATATTTATAAAGAGGTGAACATCACCCCTTGAAACTAACTGATTTAAACAAGATTCATAGTTTTACAAACACAACAGACCTATATTGACCACGGTGGGTTTCACATATACACTTCAAAAATAAACTATATTTTTTGATTTCCTAAAGAGTCATTAATCTAAGATGACTACTTCTCTTCTTGATACAAAATCACTATAGCTATCAAAAGTGCTACCAAAGAAGTTATTCATATAGCCCCGGTCTTCAAAGTCACTAACGTAGACACAGTCTTCCTTCATCACGTCTTGTTGGATCGATTCTTGTAACTGTCGAGATTTTCGAACGAGATTTTGAAGTTGAATTCCTGCCATGTCGGCGAGTTTTCTTCGGATTCTGTTGAAATCTGAACGTAGTCCTGTTTCCAAAAACCTACAAAATAAGTACAATTCAGTATAGATATCTTTTTAACTTCCTATGTTTTTGCATGAATCGTATGCACTTATTTTAATAAACGTTGTCGGTTGGTGAGACCAAGTAGCACGCTGCAAATCGTAATATATTCCTAGCCGAACAACATAATTTCYTTTTAGACTGTAATACGAGACATTATATTTGAGTTGGAAATGTGATTTTTCGTACTTTAGCCAGAAAACGACATTAAAGCACAAAAACTCCTTTCAGTTTCAGATCGCTCATTTTAGATTTCGGACTGACGAGTACGTTTTTGAAATAGTTGCATTGTCAAATATAGTACAGTGCGGAAAGCGCTACTTTTCATGAGTTATATTAGTTCCGTTTACAGTCCGTACAGAATTAAAACGGTAAATTGAACGAGGAGCAACTTTTTTAAACATTGTTGATAGTCAAAAGACGAGCTGTGAACTGGAGTTCCGGGTGTTTGACAGCCACGCCTTTCCGAGTCCTCTCGACTAACAAAAAGCCCGCCACCGCAACGTCTCTAGCAAACCAGTCGTGCCGAATGACACATATCCTACTAAAAAACTTGCAAATGAGCTGTAAATTTGATTCAGAAACACGTCCATTGAACCAAAATCACACTTCATACGCTTAGCCTTTGAAACTTTTAAAAATAAGAGTTCAATAGTTTTTGATWGGATCATTGTAAAGTGCAGGTTCTCAACGGCTTTCTTGGCCCAACCCGTTTGCCTTTGTTTCGACTAAACTAAATGGTTTTTCTAACGAAGTGGATGATTTTCTGCAGATGGTCCGCTTTTGTTCCAATCTCCATATTCTTTTATTATTATGAATTGTAAGTGAATCTCAAAACAAAGTACTTTTTCAAATTTCGGAAAAGACATTTAAGCTATTCTGTTCTTCGGCCGTTTTTTTGGGCGTCTCAATTCTTTTCTCTCTTTATTTTTCTTTCATTTTTTACTTACATTCACTCATAGCTACCTCGTATCTATCTTTGTAGGGGGCCAGAAATTTTTCCTTAAGACGATTCTTAAGGGCGATGTTTAGAAAGCTACCGACAAAACCAGATARAGCATGATAAATAGGCCTTTGTGTCGCTTTTCAATGTTGGTTTTCTGCCCGCTTATCTTAGTCGATTAGATAGCCTACAATGAAAGACAAGGACGCGATGGAAAGTTTATCATATCTTGTCTTGCCCTGCTTGGATCATCCACAGTCAGATATCAGCTTATCTCGTCAAAAGTGATGTTCAGATAAGATCAAGTGTTAATTTTTAGTCATCACTCTGTGGATTATGGCAGAGGGAGACGTACAAGATAAACGACCATTCGTTTTTTACAAGACCACCGTGCAGACATTAGCAGATACAGTTAAACCTCATTAATACAGTCATTTATATGATTGACAGCTCCCGGCAGTGCGAATAATAAAAGGGGTGCGACTAACAAAAAACCCTGAATTCACGGCGAATAACGAAAATCGACGAACAAGTGTTCAATTATACTATATTTGCAGCCGTAATGGCTATATGGCRTCTCTGCAAATGTTACAATAAACATTACCGGTCGTATTGACGACATAAAAACCCAAACCATCCAAACCATGAGGTCGTAAAATAAAAGTATATTCTATCCCAACAGAACCCTCCTAATACGGCCAAGCATGTTCTATCTCGGGCGGCCGCAGTAAAAAGGTTCACTGAGTATTTATTGTATAGCATATTTTCAACCTTACCTTTCTACAAGACTTTGAATGCAGTCAGTAGAATAGTGAGGATTTGGTAGTTCTGTCGATGAGATGCAAGCCGGTCGTAATGGCCGTACTACGTAGTCACCTAGAAGAGGGTGCATCCAACCGTTCTCTTTAAACCATGCGACGACGATCTCTTTCCGCTCGAAGTATAGTTTCAGCTTTGAAAAGTACTCCAAATTGCCTTTTTCAAGGAATTCTCTGCAAAAATAACATAATCAAGTAAATATCAAGTTCAAAAATGCCTTTAGGCAACCTAATGTAAAAACCTAACTTCCTTGATATAAACTCTTCATTAGTAAGAAATTTGTCCTACAATCAAATATCACGGAGCTTCCTTTACCATGGCAACAACCACCTCACGCAACACGATAATCATACATGGATGCAACGTATCAAGCAAGATACATTAACGTCCAACCAATGGTAACTTAAATGCAAATAACATTAAAACATACACTGCCTTTTTCGTCATGAATACAAGTTTTTTTTACAAGATAAGAGGTTGCTGATCAAGTCATTTGCTGCAAAAGCTGCCCCAGGCTTAAAGAACCTGAAAAATGAACCTTCCGACKTTCAATATTCTTTCTATATATTTTTTCCCCCTCCGTCACCAAGTGCTGTATTTGGAAGGCCCATTTTAGCTCACTATTGGAGGCAACTATAAAATCACAGACATTCGTCTCGCAAACTTATACTGAAAGGGACTTATGACAAGGGAAACCGGTGAAGACCGATCAACTCGCAGCTATCGGCGTTTCGCATTTCTTTTTTTAGATAGAATTATAGGACTAAAAGCCAATAGAATTTTTAGAGAATTTCAAGCTAGACTTACTGGCAGTTAAAACCAATTGAAGCCAATACCATCGAAAAGGACCTCATTATCAATACAAAAGACCGTCAAGGAAAGTTGACCGTCAATATCCTTGCCGATATCGCATCGAGAGGCACCTTGTATATTAAACCAATATAGTGAATGGTCATTCTTCTTTTGTGATATCAGAGCTAATTGAGAATCAAACAAATAATCTGCCAAACAACAAGAGTAGGGTGGTGAATGGTGCCACCATTAGGGAGGGCGATTACGTGATGTCGTGACGTTCAACCCCTAACCTCGTGGTGCCGATAACTACATTTTTTCACGTTATCGACGATTAGTGAGAGAGTTAGAAGTGAACGTCATTTTCAAGTGGTTATATTCGTTGCTTGTTTCACGGTCTCGTTAACTTCAGAAAAACAAGACATATTTTTCAGCCTAAAGAAGGAACTTGTTATTCTTTCGCGAATGCCTTTTTGCCGTAGTTCAAGGAAAACACAATTAGAGCTAATAATAAAAGTTTTTGCTGGCCTGCTTCTCTGCATTGCAGGGTGCATTTTTTGTAGTCCGACAATTAAGAATTCTAAGTATTCTACTAAACTGTTCCACCAATCTTCACAACAATGTCTCGCATTTTTTTAAACCCACAAACCTTTTCACACCAGAACATCACAAAAGAGTACTTGAACAACATTAAAACTTATCATTCACGTTGCTATACAAAAGACATTAAAGGTTGACCAAAAATATGCCAGCATCATTCTTCCTACATAAAAAAAACCTACAGCAAAGTGCATAAAACCAGCAGCTCATAAAATGGCCCCACGCTATGGAAAGGTATAGACTGTACATCACGGCCATTGCTAAAAAAAATGATTGATTACTTACTTGCAGTATCTGTGTTCTCTAACAACAGCTGATGGCCGATGCTCTTTCCTGTAAGCAGTGTCTTTCCTATTCTGCCATAACCATACTTCATGAAGACGTTCAATATAAGGCTTTGCTTTGCTTAGAAAGTGGGTCAATGTTAACTCTACCTCTTCAGCAATTGGCGCTAGCTACAGTATACAAGAGAAGAGAAACAAGTTAGCAACAGAGTAATTTGCCTTAACCTTATAATGGCTCTTGCTAATGCCTTTGCATACTCCAGTCAGATTGTAATTTTCAATCAGTTTTCAAAAAAATTTAATAGAAGTGTCTCACCTCTCTGTTGACATATTTCAGACAGTGTCGATAGTCCTGTGCAACCATTTCTCCCTGTCTTGGAGGCCATAATTTGATACTCTTAGCATCAAGCCAGTTTTTGAAATAGCCACAGAACTCAGCATAGGCTTTGACTGTTTTGAAGCCTCCTTTTAGCCGTCCATCTATATACTTTGTTGTAATCTAAAGTAAAAACCATGTCAGATTAGAAATCGCAAAGCATCTCGGAAACGTTATCAAAATGTGAATCCAATCGCCATCAGTCACCATCTCTCCACCAAAAATTTAATTGATCAAAATTCATTTCATGACAATGGTAAAACCATTCTTAGCATACCTAAAATAAGTATACATCAAGTAGACTATTACATATCAATTGCTTTAATTTGAAGAGCTGAATAAGTGGTTCTGGTTTCCTCAAGGCTATCCATAGCTAAATTTCATCTCCAAAGTATTTTGAAGGAAACATGAAACCTCTTGTTGAACCAGAACTTGATCACTGCTGCTGAGCTTAAAGGCACTCGAGTTTTATAATTAAAGAGTTCCTTTTCGTTTTCTATTTCTTGAAATGTATCTTGCAAATCTGTCAAAATCAGCTTCTACAATTACTCATTTACAATTAGAAGGATATATTCCTTGACAAACCATTAAGTCTAAAGTATAGTGCCACTTATGGCACAACATATCTCACATCGTAACACCCAATCTGAACAACAACCCCTTCAGCTTGAAAACCCTGTTAAACCCAGAAGATCATAATGCTATTTTTCCAAATATCAACTTTCTTTTAGGACGTACCTGATGTAGCATGTAATTGTGAGTAGTAGGTCGCATGTGTTCCGTTAAGGCCTTCAGTGCCTTGTGATTGCCCATTTCTCTATCTTCTAGATACTGATACCATTTCTGCTGTCGCGAGGAGTGAAGAGAGAGTTGGTAGTGTTCTTCTAATGCTTGTCTATTTCGAAGACATCTCTTTAGGACATAGTTCTGCATGGGAATAATGCCCCCATGCTTTTTAACAAAAATTTTGTACAATGTTCTCCATTCATAGTAACTAGAAGGATAATCTGCTTCTTGGTGGTCATCGTGGTCTAATGAAACAAAAATAATAATTAAAAAAAAAACCACATGAGAAATAAAATTTGTTAGATTTCTCTTTTTGTTTAAAGGTTTATCTCCAGTTTTCCTCCCTCCATAAAACCTCATCTGCAACTTAGTTAGACATTCCTGGACTTTGATCAGCCCATAGGTTTTTTCAGGGTAGTCTTCAGGGAATCAATAAAATCTGAAGTCTTATCTTGATTTACACCAGTCTCCTCAAAGTGAAGCTGTAAGTGATATTTCAAAGCAGACAATGAGGACTGGACGGGAATTCAAGTCTGCACAATTAGTTCGGCTGCGCCTCGGACTGGAACTAATTGCAAGGACTTAAAATCCTGTCCAGTCCGATTTGGAGGCTTTAGAATGACTTCTCATACTCACTAATAATTCAGGAGGTGATTTGTTTAGGATTGAAAGACTTAAGGGACAGATATGTCCCTGAACTGAATTAATTTTGATCCAGAACTTGAGTAAAATTTATTCAGTCCTTTCACAGRACTTTACCAGGTTTCAAGTAACTTCATGTGTCCCAAAAAATAGCCCATTGATTGGCTGGTTTCCTCGTGAATTATTAATCAGTATGAGAAGCACTGATAAAAACCATGATAAGTTTTATAGCTTTGTATGATGTATGTAAACATATTTGGAAGAGGATTCACAAAAGAAAATGAATCATCCCAAAATGCTWAGTCTTCTGCACTGTTCCTATGGAGATAAACCAATCTTCGTTTTAGAATGCACTTGGGTACCTATCAACTATTACATTGTTATCTTGCCTATCTTCCTGGACAGGATGTATAAGATTTTGTACAGCAAACTAACATGTATTTTATATGTTTGACTGGCCCTACTAGCTTAGAAAGCACATTGTCTAAATATAGCATAATGTATCTTTTTTTGTGGCAAACATCTACCTTTGTGTGTTCCTACTGAGTAAAGAAATTAATACCCTTTTCTTGAAGAGGGTATATGTAAAAAAGACATTAACCATAAAGTTAGGAGTTATCTAACAATTTTTTTGGAAAGAAGAAAACTGAAGGATTCCGTGAAAAACCCGTAGCATAGGAGAGAACAAGTTATCGAACAATAACTTAACTCACATACTAGGCACTGCATACAGGGCTCGAACCACGGACCCCTTGCACCAAAGTCTGGAATTGGTGAGAGCGGTTGATGCCTTAGCATTGTAGACCACCCAGGCTTACCCTAAAAAAGGAGACCCCATATATATGCATGGTGATATCTAAATATTATTTTTAATATTATTTTTTTTATTAATACCAATTATCTTTAATTGAGTATTGACTCAACTCCAACTGTAGGAAAAGTCCAATTAATATGAAAACTACTGCTAAGTTCTGCAATAATAATATTTGGCAGCCCATAGCCAGGCATTATTACATTCTGTCAAAATTTGAGGTTCTGCTGCCAGTTTCTCAGAAATAATTTATCATGCAGCTATACATTAGTAACACATTTCTTTTATAAATATCATCATATCAAAGTGGAGTTGTTCCACTTGAAGTTCTTCTTTAACTCAAGCCTAAGTGGCAATGAAAGCAAGAATACTCAACAATGTTAGTTATTAAGCTCCTACCTTGCTGGGATTCTTCATAATGTGTTTCCAGACATTTATCTGTCAGACCCCAAATAGACTTTGCTTGGCTAGGAGTGAGATGGCTAACACTATGTGATGGAGGTTCAGAGCTAAGTAGATACCAAACTATGACTGAAGTCTTAAGCTGACTCACAGGACGGAAGAAGTTGTGATCGTTCTTGAGAATTTCAGCTTTATAAAACATTTCATATAGATATAAATAAGAATATTCTACCCATTTGACATAAAGTCCAAAATCAACCTGTAAACAAAAAAGAAAAATAAGGGTTAGGATAACAAGAAATAACAGGTTAGACAGTTTCTTATGGTAATAGGATTCTAAATATAGTTTAGTCATCTCAAGGTAACTTTTGAGAGGGATTCTTGGGTTCTGCCCTTCACAACAAGCAATTATCAATAAATATGGGGTCCAGTTTGTTGGCTTGCTTGGCATTGCAGACTTTTAGACTAAAGACTTAATAAATAAATATCATATTATCATTAGATATCTGTGTCTCCAAGGTTGCCTGTTTCAGCCATTTAAATTTAAATTCTACCTTGTCACAAAATGGATATTTTATGTCATACATTCATGTCTGGAGTGCAAAAACAAGCTGAAATTATAATTTCTCTTTAACAATCAACAGCTCTTACTAAAATTTCGTTAAGTACTCCCTATTGGGACCTATTGAATTTTTATTAAAAACCAGAAACAAAAGAGAAATTCCTTGGTCCATGGTCCAGTGCTTATGAACCAAGGGGTTTTTKGTATCATTCATAAAACGTGCCCTGTAGAGGGATCTTTATGTTTGTCATTTCAAAGTCAATCTATATACTCTAAAAACGCAGATAGAAGCTTCACAATTTTAGCTTTTGGTCATGTTCTGCCATGTAATACACAGGCCAATAATTATCTGAATACGTTCTAGAATTTCACTCTGCTAACCAAATAGTTATGATAACAAGCCACAATTTTAAAGTTTTCCCACTGGCCATAATTTAGCACCACAACTTACAAAGGGAACAGTCTATTGTGAAACAGCTGCATCATAAAAAAATCTATTTCAACTCTAGTTATACGTCCTACTTAAACGTTTCTAGAAACCAAGATCTTCAGATCTAGGAAATGGACTTCTAGTAGAGAGATGTACAAGTTTATTACGAGGCATTCAAACATTTTTAAAGCGATTTCTGAAACGCCTGGGATGAAATGTTCGTGTCCATGCAAGGATAACATACATTTGCATGTGACAAAACCTTAATCAAACCCTATCAGCAAACGAATTTGCAAAGCCCAAGGCATTGGCTAAAACTTGTCAATAAGCAGAAATAGTTGATTTCCTTCTTGTAATAAAAGTAGTTTAGATGAAGGGAGGGTTATTGTAGGAAGTGACGAAGTATGTTTTCAATGGTTAATAGGAACAGCTGGGAAGGCCGGGTGAAAGAAAACCCAAACTCCCTGATAATATCGCCTACATTCCGCCTTCAAATGGCATCGATTTATTTATTCATGGCTTTTTCAAAGTTATGAACGGTAAACTCTTGTACCGAAGGTTTTGGAAGATTTTGCGCATTATCACGATTTGAGATACCTCCGATGCAGTATGGCCGTATTGTGTGACTAGTTCGAACAAACGAAAACAAAACATTCCATTTGTTGGATCGAATTGCGTTAGAAAGCTCTAATTTTCAGGAATCGATCTTAATTTTGCTATAATAGGAAATATTCTAAGGAATAAACATTATTTCGCTTGTTTTGAACGAATTTTTAAATGTCCGTGGGATATAAATACCCAAGTCGGCAAATGAGTTTCTTGTTTTGTGATACGAGTATACACGACTCTTGTTCACATCAGATCGACAGAAGTGTTTGGCTGCCTTCAGCACCCTAAAGCTGAAGTCCTTTAGATCTATTTACACAAGAAACAAAACAGAAAAGCCTAAAAAGAAACAAAGCTCCAATTTCTTGGCAGCTTAGATATTTTGAATAATAAATTAGAGGTTGCTTCCTGTGCGAGAAATGGTAGCGATGGGAGGGACCGATTCCCTTGTGCTCAGGCGCTTTAGAATGTCGAAGAACTGGMGTCTTATCGCCTGTAAGAACTATATCTTCTTTCTGCTAGGTCTTAAGCAGTTCAAAATACAAAGGATTTAGAGAGTTATCCATAAAATATGACGACCATTGCTKGTGGGGGAACAGAGCCACATGGCATCTTAAGTCGGAAACGCGATGTTTGAACGCTTTGTGCTCGAAATCCACAGCCAAAATTTGTCAGCTTAGAGTTACATGAAAGAAAGTCTATTCCTTCTTCTAATGTGAACCACAAAGGAGATCGGTCGCCTGGAAATAAGCTAAGAATATCATCTACGTACCTTACATCGATGACGCCATATTAGATCCGAGAGGCAGAGTCGATGGAAAAGCCGACATGTTTTGCTTAGCGTTATAAGGCTCCTAAAGTCTAGATATTCCAGTATGAGTACAAGAACTTCTTCACTCAAATGAGTCAGTAACGATGGTGGTTGAATAATACTAGAAGCCATCTCGTCGGGTTGAAATATCCTTGTATTAGAAGGAACATGTAGTCTATGTGTCGGAGTAAAAGACAAGGGTGAAAAAGTTCTTCTGTTTGAACATTCTGTTACAAATTTTTTCGCCTTTGGAGGCCCTAAACTCGAGTCCAGCATATTCCTTTGTGAGTYCGGCCTCAAATGAATTTGCTCCTTTGGGGCTAAAAGGTTTAGATAAATAGCAAACGATAARTCAATCCTGCCTTGCTAATGACTCAATATCTCTAAGGCCAAGAATTGAGCTTTGTTGTTTTTATATTCTTTTGACACGTGCATTTCCCGTCACACTACGCATGCGTTACCTGCAGGATGACATGGTTTGGACCAATCAGCGTTGGCGGCGCGTGTTTAGAATTCTTTGTATGTTGAGCGGGTTGTGCTAATAAAACATAATTACCACTACTCTTACACGGAACACAAATCACTCGACAATGGATCTAGAACCTTAAATTCAACAAAGCTATCAACCTTAACGAGGCTGTATGCTGCTCGTCAACTCTTGAGCCAATCGCCATAGTGATTTATCAGATCTGCCTTGAGAAAAGACAGGACAAAAAGGGCCGCGAACAAATGTGTCAAGCACCTCGGTTCGAAACATAATCCTCTCTTATGATTTATTTAATTTCGCTTGGGTTTTTTATCGAAAGGCAAAGATGGCCTCGAAGTTTAGCTTGTGGTGGGGTTCAAATTCGATTCGCCTTTTGAAGCCGAAACTTTCGTTTCGAATGGCTTGCCCTGTGCCCTGCTGTGTTCGTGGTCTTTGTACGTAAAACCGCTAGAGCGAGTCGAAGGGTTTACATGGAACGTGTTACCGGTAGTTTATACGACTGAACTGTTGCGTACTATGTCGCCTACTCTTAATCTCGTTTTTCTTCTATTGGATCTCTTTGTTGTTTCGTGACTTAACTTCCTTTCGAGATCAGCAAAACTGAAAAATGTTAAGAACGTAACTGACGACTTTCGTTTCTCGATTGGAAGACCCGATTCGGCCAACAGAATAGTGCTGAAAAGYCGGTTCCAAGTGACTGCTGAATGCTTCTCTGTACAAATTCAGTCAAGCGAAAGCCGTGAGCCTAATGACCAAAATAATATAAGCTTTYATCATAATAGGCTCAGAAAAGATGGATGCATATTCAAAAGCCGTATATATCGCTAGGGTAATTGAGCGGGTGAAAAAGCCATTACTGAGTGAAATAAAAGTAAGAACCATAACAATATTTAAAATGCTCTCCCGAGTGACTGATGACTCAAGTATTGAAGTAAAGTGTCCATATATGTAGAGAACAGTTCCAATAACCAATGCTGTTGCTACTTAAATTCTCAACAAGAAAAACTCAGTACCATGGACACAAACTCTTCAGGCTTTCATAAGTAAATACTGAAAATGATATGGAATTTAAAGAGCCTAATTCGCAAGCGCTTTCGTGTTGGAAGAGGCCAATGAAATGTCACTCTGCTGCCTATTGTGGTCGGGGGCTTTGTTCACGTAATAAGGGAAAAGTGAAATGTTAATGACTTCCTGCAAGTTCTATTAGCAGACATACTCTGGCCACTAGTTGGCTGTGGATGTGTCAGGGCAAAACCCTTAATATTGAAACCACGGAAACCACAAAACTCGTCGAAGAGGGTCACGTGACAACCCCTGCTGAACAACCAGCTGTCATTCCGGATTGTATGCTTTTGTTTGCTAGTGATAGTTAAGAAAATTATGTAAAAAAATTAAGCATATTGATTGGTGTTTAGTTGAGAGGAACAAAAGAATGAATTATTGAAAGGACGAACGGTAAGCTGCAGCATATAATTTTAAGTAAATCTTCGCAAGGGGTTGAGAATTTCATGTCGATAATGAGTCAGCCTAACTGAAAGGAAATAGAAAATGATGAAAAGCTTTATATATCAACAGTAAACTCTTCACGTTCTACAACCCAGGAAAAAAACGTTCTCTCGTGCTTTTCACCTTTCAAACCTTACATGTACCGATGTCAGTAAAGTTCTTAATGTTCCATAGAACCAAGTGTAGAGTTAAAGTGGCCGTTGTTCCGTAGACCAGCACGTTCTATCAATTATTAATGTTATTTTTTCATTTCATCCAATTAGAGTAAAGGGATATGTACTTTCCAACCGGACAGCTTTCCCAAGGGAGCCCCTGTTAAATATGACCACCAACCATTTCTAATTCGTTTTTAATATTTGGACAGCTGAAAAAGAGCTTCTTGGTTATGACACCCTTAAGAAAAAACGTCTTTTATCTCGAGATAAGAGAAATGGAATGGCTCTATTTACGGCGCTGAGCAAAGAACAGGTCYCTGCGTGTGACTCAGAATTTTTCTTTTCGTGGAATCTCGAAAATAGATTTTTTTAATGAAAACATATGGAACATTCAGTACTGCAACGTAATATTCAAAACGGTCGATGGATCATAGTGAATCCGAGTGGAAGCAGCCAATAGCCAATCAGCTGCGGTGGACCGAAAACAGAGATAAGAATGACTAAATCGGAGTCACAAAGAAGGAAAAAAAGATGGTACTTGAGTACGTAGTTCTCTTAGCTTGTTTAATGGTTTAAAGCGAGGGCTTTCAATAATGGATCGGCTTGTTTGCACGAAACGTTTGATATATCCGCGCTGGCAATCATTAGAAAAGGATGATGGGAAATGATATAACGGCAATCATTAGAAAAGGATGATGGGAAATGATATAACGAGTTACATTCGTAATTAAATGTTACACAAAATCGTTGAAAACTGTACAGAACTGTAAATAGTACTTTTAAGAAGTTTGAAATTCGTGTTCTTTCGGGTAAAAGACTTGAGAATATTTATAGGTTTGTGGTTCTAAATAGATAAATATGTTGCAAGACTGAATCACGAAATCAGTACAATTTWAAAAGATTTTTTGGAGGGTGAGTTCAGCCCTTTTCTTCATCTAAATTCTTCATTGATTATAACTTTCGTAGTGAAAGGGTTAATGTTATCGGAACAAAACTCTACTGAAGTCTTCCCAAAACAGTGTTGCTCAACTTCAGACAAGTTCATAAGACGCTTTCTTTCTGGTTTTCTATTATTTGTTGTGTGGTTAAGAGAAACGTCTATGTGGTGTACTTTACTTATTATGAACACACGTGTGTATACACAGTTCCCTGTCACAGGTTGTCCAATTGTACGGTGTAGAAGGGCGGTGGTTGCTTGTACAACCGTGGGATATACGACTCCACCGGGTCCATATTCTCACAGTATAGCACCAGGCACACGTTTTTCCACCGGCAGAAAAAAGCTAACAAGTGATGGATTATAGTACTTTCTTAAGGATAACTCCAATTAATCAGCCAATAAATGCATTAGAAGAAAAACAAAAAAAAACAAACAAAAAATAAATGAAAGCTGAGTAGATAATAGAACAACCTGTCTTGTCCATAAAAACAAAGATTTCTGTGGAAATTCATCAGCAGTATTCTAAATAGATTAACTATAATAATAGTGCTCGCTTCGTTGTGATTTTTTAACTAAGAAAATTATATATTACTAGTTTAAGAAATGGAKTTTTTGCCTGTTTAGTTTAGACGTTTATATTTTAGTCATTAATGGTGTCACGATATAAAATGAAGACGGTTACAAGACCGTACAAGACAAAATAAAATGAAACAGTATTTTATGAATCATGGCACTGATTTGTAAATCCGCATCATCAATACAGCCGATAAATCCATCAAGTCCCACCCAACTAGACCCTTGAAAGTGTCAACAGAGTGAGAGTGCGTTACAGCATTAAGCGAAACTGAAATATTGCCTCCGTTCTGACTGCGGTCTTATTGATTGCTATTATTATGAAAAGTTGTTTGTTCTGAACGCCATGCATGAAAGTGTGGCTTAATATCATGTAGTGCCGACATTATTCGAGTCATTGCTTTCAGAGTCGGGAACAATCTATATCCTTCTACAGCTATCAGAATTTGAAATCTTGAAGTCCTAGACATGCACAACTCGATCTGATACCCAACTGTGTACCAATGTTCAGTTGTTGGATTGTTGTGTGACTTCTAAGCATCCTGCGCATTGCATGGTTGGAGGTCGGTTTTGATCAATCTAATAAGAATGCTTTCATAGTGTAGGGCCGGTTGCTTAGAAAATATCTAATAGCAAAACAAGCCGCTAAAAAAAGAGACACCCAATATTGTTCAAACCTGACCTTGACAGTGAGTAGGTCAAGGGAAATCATTCTTTGCTATTAAGGTTATAGCAGTGCAGTTAAGTGTTGTTATTCAAACGTGACGTCACTACCATAATATTTAAGTCGGCCTAGTACCGTATGTGTTTAGTCACAAAAGAACCAACTGACCCGATGAACACATAACGAACCGGAAGGTTTTGTGACACACCCCCGATGACGTAATACTCGGCTTAGTGTGGTGGCGTTACGTTGGGCACGTACGAATCTTTCACTTACTACGTACCTCGGGAGTTTGAATGTAATCGAGTGACATTTCAATTTCCATTTCCGCTTTAACTTTTCTTCCGGTTGAAATATTTCGTATTCAAACTGTTGGCCTTGGGAATATTTAAGTGTGTTGTATATCCCTTCATGTCTATGTAGATTTATATATATCTATATTTATTTTCGTCGGAACCTGTGTATACTGAATAACATATTACGTGTGTAGCCCTAAGGCAAACTTTCAGTACGTACCGACAAATAATAAAGTTTGCAAACAAACTGAAAGTGCTCTCAACTGATGAACAACATGTTCCAATATCTTTTGTCATTTTTTGCCAATTATCATTCTAATTGCTTTGATAATATAAAAGCACTTTTAATTATTCATCTTTAATTAACGCCGAAAAAACTGTTTTGAGCCAAGATTAGTATATGGTACGTTTCACACGTACGTACTGCGGGTTTATAAAGAAAATAATTGTCAAATCAAATAGATATATATATTCTATCCAGTTTTCTGTCTTTCGTTCAAGCCCGTCCTTAGTTCCCAACCGCCGTGTCTTTTGTTATTTCATTCTCTTGGAAATGCAAGCCAGCRGATCGTTACGTGACGCAATCACGGAGGCAAGAAGACTAGAAGACAAACAAATTTTAATGTGCTTGGCACGTACTCTAATTTTACTGGAACGCTGTATTGTTTGTTCGGCAACTTTTTATACTTTTACTGCGGTTTTCCATATTCTGCGTACTCAGACATTTCAACTGTTATTGATGGTTTTCAACCATTCCCAAGAGAATTAAATAACAAAAGACGCGGCGGCCATGTTGGAGGATATAACAAAAGAATTCATTAATAATTCATTTGTTAAGTTCCTCCAACATGGCCGCCGTAAAATTGGTTTATCACTGCCAAGAACAAGAACATAAGAAGGTACCGACTGATTGTTTGTGATTGACAGCAGCGAAAAACCAAATTTCAGCGTGCAGCTCGCAACTACCGAGTTCGCAGAATATGGAAAACCGCAGTAATTCCCATCTCAAGTCTTTTGCAATTGGATATCGATTGAAGCTTTGAATAATGGACCGAATCCACTATGGGCCTGCCCATTTCAGACACACATTGCATGTGTCACTCTCTTGAGAATAAGAATATTTGTTTGAGTTGTATCCATATATTCATGTTGATCCTAGTTCTCATGCGCAATTGTTAAACAAAGAAATAATACTCTAGGGAATGACACGTGGTCTTTAAATGGGAAAACTGTGTGGATGAGGTCTATTGCTTTCATGGATTTTTTCGGTATAAGCCAGCATCGAAACTGAAACTTCGAAAAAATTGATACATTTATTAATTTTAGTGAATGAAACGGAAATYAATGAATTGTACCCTCGTACGATCAACGGCACCTAAAGAAATGAGAGATGCCATACCGGCATTAATCACTCAGAGGTCTCATCCCATTAAGCCGCGATAAAAACAATGGAAATTAAAGAAAATATATAGAAAATTAAACAATAATGAAAAGGAATTAATCACACGTGGTTGGAATATGAATATGAAAGAATGACTCATACTCGACCACGCATTATAAGTGTATCATCACAAGCCGTGCGCTTGTATACTGATTCGGGCGCGGTACATGGTCACTTAAACTTTATTCATAAGTCATCATCAGTTAAAATGGCCACCGTCATGCTGGAAATAAGCCTGAAGTGAGATGACGTTTTACCCCCGTCTGTAGACCATAATCCTTTTCACACTGCTTTTGTTCTTTAATTATGACTATTGTTCCTGTATTCTCTAAGGGATAAAAAATTTTAATATGAGAGAACTTTAAAAACTATTATGGTATAGAGTCGGGGGTAAAACGTCATCTAGCTTCAGGCTTATTCCGATGTCGATTCTTTATAGACTTGCCTGCAGTCATAAGCGCTTCACAGCGGCTGCTCAGGAGGCTAGAGTCCGGCAACTAGTGATGATTTTTAGAGGAATCCCGATCTCGATGTAATTATATGCATTTGTAAGCGACTAAAACAGTAAAAGAGAGGGGAGGGGAAAAGAAGAAGAAGAAAAAAGAAAAATGAAAGAAAGAAAAGAAAAGAAAAGAGGAAGAAAAAAGAAAAGAAAAGTCAAGTAAAAGTAGCTGATTCAGAACTAATCTAGAGAAATGCAGTCTCGATGGCAAAGGTGGGCACAGGGGGATCAGCATCACGTTTCACGCACCGCTATATTCCCACGTCATCAAATTTAGGCATATTAATGAATAAAGAATTTTACTGACCTTTAACTTTTCGAAAAATATCGAATCAGTCATTTACGAATAGGCTTCTTTACCTTAGTATGCTGAATGCCCATTTCAGACCACATGAATTCCTCTGAGAATTTTTCTTTTATGATGAATATGAAGAATCGATTCCCAAGAGTGGCATTATATGGTCTGAAATGGGACAACAAACAACGAAGCTAAGGAGGTCTTTACGCACATTTTATGAGAAAAAAACACGCGCGTCACAGAAAACCTGGAATTCACAGACCACATTCTACAGTTTAGCTATTTTCATGCCTGGGCCACCCTGAAATATTGGAGATTACGATAAATTCCAGTCCCCTTTGTCGTTTTATCCCAGCCTACCTTTAATCTTAGACCGATCCCAGAATGCATGTGGTGCGCAGCAAATCCTATTTTAGTGAACGCCTCTGATCATCTTAGACAAATCTGTTGACACAGTGTATCGTGCTTGAGCTGAAGTAGAAATTCTTAGGAAATAGGTTGTCCAACATTATAGCTTAAAATTTACTCTCTCAAACCTTACCTATAAGCAAAGGAAGATACGATACTAAAGGGAATTGGCGGTCTCGCATATCGTCTCGAATGCGGCTTCCCTCTGGTAAGGATTGCTTGGGTTTCCTGTGGTGTATGATGTGTTGCCTGTGATATATGTGGGTTGCCTGTGGTTAAAGAATTTTGTTTGTTCAGGGAAGCAAAGATGATTGAAAGGTTCTGTCGATCTGCACGTCCACGTAGCAAAATCCACTATGGCTGACGGTGTGAGAACGATAAAAACAAAAGAAATCAGTAACTATTATAGCGGAGAGATCCGTGAACTCGTACTTTCTCATTCCGAGCCCTTGATTTTTCCTAAAGCTTCTAAACAGTGGCCGTGCTCGAAGTGGACACCTGAATTTCTCGCTGGAAAACTTGGAAATGTTCAGATAACTTTTCGAATCTGTGCTAAACTTGACTCCCCGTTTTATAAATTCCCTTTGAATAAAGCGGTGACAGAGCCAGATTGTGAATATTCCAAGGCTTCTTTGCAGAATTTTTGTGCGTGGCTGAAAGATGATTTACAAAATGCTGGCGATTTAGCCAAATTCCCAAGGTGAGTTAATTAAATTTAAAGGAATAAAACAACCTGTAATATTGTTATAGAAATAGAAATCAGGTGTTTAGAGATAATTTATGTTTCTTCTCAAATTTCAATCTTGCTTGCAAAATAGCAACCACTTTCTCCTGTTTTCAACGCTATGAAATTTGTTATCTCGATTATTTACAGCTTAATAAATGATGACTATATCAATGAAAGCTTAACTTATTTAATTACAACGATAAGTTTATTTTGATTATTCTAAATTTTCTTTAAGATGCAAACGATGAAAATCGATGCGCAATATAAATTTTGGCTGCATCCCAGAACATATTATGCCTTTAAATTCATGAGAAAACTTCAGAAACACTACTCGTTTTGAAGCCATTTCGAAGTCACAGTCTAGTCGTGTTATACGCTATTATTAGTATTTATTATATAATTACCAATGAAATATCCTCTATTTCTCTATTTCGAAAAATTGATATTTTCACACGTGAAAATAACATGTTATTTTCACGTGTGAAGATAACACCATTGTGATGGCTATTCAAAAATTCACAGAAAGAATTGCCTGAAAAAGCCAAAACATACTTCATTGATAATTATATAATAAACAGAATATTACATGGCCGCTTGGAGATACGAATTTTATCTTCTTGTGTTGAAAATCTCTCACTCGTTTGCTACGCTCACTTGTGAGAGATCTTTTCAACACTCGAAGATAAAATTCGTATCTCCGCGTGCCCATGTAATATCCTCTATAATATATCCATTAGACTAAAACAACCAGACCAAAAGCTTGACTGGTTAACATGTCAGCTTTTTATTGACTCATAGACCAATATCTGGGTTTTACATGCAGCCAGATATGTAACCTTGTGGTCAGCAAAAGCTGCACAAAAGAACATTTTATGCTGGTAAATTAATGAGAAAATTTCAGAAACACTACTGGACTGGAAGCCATTTAGGAGTCAATGTCAATGTTATTATCGTGTTTCAATTATGGTGTGTGACTACAGACCAGGGGCTGCAGAGGAGGTGCGGCAGGGGATAGGGGGTGGGGGCTACAGTAGTCTTGCTTTTTTCCCATACTAGTCTCTTATATTTTTCAATCTTAGTGCCCCCCTCCCCCTCCCCCCAAATTTTCCCATATTAGTCTCAATTTTTGCTTTCCCCCACTTTTTAGGGTGCTCCATGGCCCCTGAAGTCTGTCACCATTAGGGCTGCATGCCTATATTAAGCTTATATTATTATTTAGAGAAATCTATTGTTACAAGTTATGATTGGAATATTAGCAGTTGGAAAGGGACCTACTATCCGAATTCTGCTCTGTTCTCTTACTTTCTATTAAAATAGCTACCAAACTTTTCAGGGCACACTATTGGTGCTATGCTGATTACAAGTACATGGCAGAAATTTTCAGTGAGCTTCCTTCATTGAGACAAGGTCCTCTGTGGAAAGCATTTGGATTTCCAGAGGTCACGGGTGACCAATCAACCATATGGATTGGCAGTGAGGRCTCGAATACACCTTGCCATCTAGATACCTATGGGTGTAACCTTGTCGCACAAATTTATGGCCAAAAGAAATGGACTCTGTTTCCGCCATCTCAATCTGACAAGCTATGCTCAACCAGAATCCCATATGAGGAATCAAGTGTTTTTAGCCGAGTGAATATAAAATGTCCAGACCTGAGTCTGTCACCTGAATTCGACAAGGCTGTCAAATATGAGGTATCTGTATAATGAGCTCCTTTAAAACAAAAATTGGCAGGGATTTGCCAAGAGAATAGATTTTCACAATTTCACTGCATACCTGGTCTCTTGTGTTGCAGAGGGCTTTCCAAATATTAATTGTCATCCAAATCTCTATGCTATGACTCTTTGGATGTTTTAAGTTGTTGCATTAGTACCAACACTAGCTGTAGAAACCCCCAGTGGGTTGTTTTGGCTTGTTGATGTCATCATGAAATAGAATCATTTTATTTTATTTTTTACGCTTTCAGGTAGTTTTGAATCCAGGTGATGTTCTTTTTGTTCCAAAACACTGGTGGCATTTTGTGGAATCATTGGAACCTTCGATTAGCACAAATACCTGGATTACCTTGGTACACAACAATCGAGTTATGTTACACATGCACACACATTTATCATTTGCCTAACTTCTTTCCCCCATACTTCTCTCCATATTTTATTCACAGAATCTTTAGCTTTAATTGATTTCGATTGTGGCCTGATACTACTGTGAAATAATAATAAATGAACGTGGCTGAGAGTCAGAGATGTGTATTGTAGAACATGACTAGAACAATGGGAAAAAACAATGCACTTATTGCTTGGAAAGAAGCTAGATAAGTTTACCTATAACTATGTGTATATAATCTTTCAAAGTGTTTCTAATTCACAATATTTCTAACATTCTAATTAACAGTCTTTTTTAAATTCTTTGTTCAGGATAGTGACCATGTTGACAGAGTCCGTGAAGCTGTCACCAGAACACTGGTAAGTCGTTCATACATATCAATGCTACATTTTACAGTTCCGTTCATTGACCAAGAATAATAGTTCCAAGCTGAGGCTGTAGTTGCTGCACATGATGAACTGAAGTTTTGCTATGCACCGAAACCAGCCTTGACATGAAGCTGTATTTGTGGTCACTGAAAAAAACTGTAAAATGGAGTATTGGTAATCTAGCTCTAGAAGTAGTAAGAGGTGATACAGAAGAGAGAACAGAAGACACCTAGAATGCATTATTTAATCTTCATTATTTTTGTCATTTGATCTGAATTTGTTTCTTGTATAATTAAAGGTTTGTTCACTAAAGGAAAGTGAGAAAGAAGACCCAAAACTTTGGCTCAACCCAACTCAGGTACGGTAATGGCATTTACCAATAATTCTCCTGTCATTTGCATAAAAGTAAATTCTTAACATATTGATTGATGTACATTATCCTTTATGGAAAAATTATAGATAGAAAAAATTTATATGCATGCTAATAATTGTCTTGCATTATATAATGGTAGATTTTTCTGGTGTATTTGGCACATCTTGGCCTCAAAATACAAAAATCCTAAAAGGTCATTTTTCAGATTTTTTTATTTATTCATCACTTTTATCTAAAGCGGGCTTCCTTTGGTTTCTAGATGCATCGTGCTAAATTGCATGTCCTTCCATTTTTGTTTTCAGGAAATGACAACACATATTCAAAATATTGAATATGTACAGCAAGCTGTCATGGCATTCTTCCAAAACCAAACGAGTGGATCTCAAAGCCGTGCATTAACCAATAATGATATCATTGATTGCATTACTGCACCGGAAATAGTCAACCAAATTGCCAACCGGTTGATGTCAAAATCTAAAACAGGGGATTCTGCAGCCAATATTTCTCCTTTCAAAATCCCTGCCGAAAGGTCGTGCCACTGTGAGTGCTGTGGACCAGTGTGTATCAGGACTAGCATGATGGCAAAAAAGGCAAAGAGAAGCTTAAGTGTACCCGTTGGAGAAGAACACAAACCTCGGCCATTTGATGATGACAATGAAGAGATCCCCAAAAAGAGAAAGAAAAAATCCTAAAGCAGTTTGCTATGCCGTGCCAATGGATTAGCTTGATAATTTTAACTGATAGAATTGTAGACAAAAATACATAAAAGGGGCACAGACTATAATGTAATGCTGATAACTTCTCATTAATGGCGATGATAGTAATGATTTTAATATAGTAGTGCTCATGCTAATGATTGCAGTGATGATGCTTATAATTTGAATCATAATGCTAATATTACTAATGCTAATACTAATCCAAGTGGCCGCAATAGACCGTTTTCTCAAAGTTGCGTGCGCATCCAAATTTAAGAAATTGACGGGCCACGATACCAAAACACGAGTATTATCACGCATTGTTATGACTTTTTTTCGATAAGAATTCATAGAATCTATTATTTTCCTCGTTAAATATAAAACTGTCAATTTTACTGAATTTGCGTATTTCAGGGTTTTTTTTTTTCTTTTAATATTATTTTATTTATTAACAAACATGAATCATGATTACACATAACAAATAATACAAATAATTACAAATAGTGGTTACATTAGAGTGAAGTCATTAAACCCGTGAAGTAGATGTTAGACTAATACACTTTAGTAGACCCTAATTCCATTGTTTTCTTTTGTGTCTTTTTGGCTATTACACGTTAACTAGTACTTATTTCACGCGTAAATTGCCTTCGCTCTACTAATGCTAATGCTGATATTAACACTAGGAAATAACGAAAGAGCAGAGCAGCACCACACAACAGAAATCACTTTAGCTCGGTTTGTCAGCCCAGGACACGCAACTGCCAGAATCAATTCAATGGCTTACTGCAGATATCGGTCACAAAATTCCATATATTTTTAATGACATTACACTTGTTGACAAATCTCTCGTACTTTCTAAGTAGCCTTAAAAAGGAATACTAGTTAAACTAGCTCACAGGAAGGTAAATTTGCACCGTCGGCATTCTGTAAGACTATTCGCCTTTCCAAGTAGTATGGGCCTCATGGCGCCTGAGATTGGGGAGCTGAATTTGGGGCACGAGGTGGCAAAGCTTAGTTCCTATGCACCACGAGGTCATCTTCGAGAGGCACACACTGAAGGTATTGCCGACATTAAATAAGGTGGCTTTAATATTTATATAGATTGTATAAGAAAAAGATAAAAGTAAAATGCTTATACAGTGAGGGATTTTTTTTACTTGGGATCTTATACGATGTGAGTTCAAAATCACATATAAAGTACAGTTTTTATTGGATTGCGATACTTTGCGTAAAATCGTTCCTAACCCATTCCCCAAAGGCTAAATCGATTCCGCACCCGGAGCCACGTTCCTCTTTACAAGGAGGAAGGGTGACCTTACCACTAGGGTTACCCTAGTAATTACACCTTTTGCTGTTCATTAACAGAAAATGTACATTCATTTGTGCCAATAGTTGTATCAATAACGTGTATCAACGTTGTATCAACACCACAAGTAACATCATTAGCGCGAATCAACTTTCAATAACGATATTTGAATATGCGTGAACATTCATAGGCATCAATGGACAATCAATAGCGCGTTCGTACATTCATATGCGCGGAATGTATTTTCTTGTGCGCRAAATTCAACTTCAATAACACCAAATGACAGACAATTGCATTTATGGACAATCATTTAACCAAAAGTGAAAATTCATTAGTGCTATTAGCATAATCATTGACAATCTATTATAACGCGCTTGGACAATCATGAGGGTCAACGTTATATTCTATAGCGTGGTTCGACAAACATTTGCATGATTCGAATAAACAATAAGAGAAATAAAACAATCATTAGCGGTTTTTTTTAATCACTTTAATACATATAAAAAACTCAGGAAACTGCCTCCATAATAGCGGCTGCGTAGGAGAATAGCAATTAGCTCACTTAAAGCAGC